ATTAGGTTCAGATATTTCTGTTTCTAAATAAACCCCAAGGGGCCTCCATGGTGGCACAAGGAGTTAAGATACAAGCTATGAAGCTGTATGCAGCCTCCTCAGCACGAGTTCAATCCCTGGCCAGGGAGCAACCCACAGGCGCAGCAGACCTCTTCTGACTCACCCGCTGCTCCCCTCAGCAGTGTACTTTGGTCAGTCTGCCTATTCTGTTCCCCACTCTGTCTCTGGTAAATCCTCTCACCTTCCCCCCACCCCAGCTCTGGCTTGTACCCCAGCTCTTGTGTGCATAAATAAATAAATCTTAAAAATAACTAACTAAATAAATAAACCGCAAGTCCAGTTCTAGGGAGCCTTTCAAGAAAGCCTTTGCCTATAAATGCCCATATAGTTCTTAAGTACCTTTAAACCTTACTATTAATATATATGCACTTAAATATAAAAATATAAAACAATTATTTAAAAAATGACTCTTGTAACATACTTTTCTTAAGAGAATATGTTTTCAACATATTTTTTCTCCACTATGCCCACTCCTTCCTAAATGTATATATATTAAAAAGAGGAAAACGATTTATGATTTCCTTGCTTAGACTGAGTAATTAGAAGCTTTGGATTTCTCACAGTTTCTCTCACTGTATTTTTTCTTGACTTCTATAAATGATTGTAACTAAAATTAGGGTACTTGATACAAAAGGGTTTTTCTTCCTTTTGTCTTGGTGTGGTGAACAGTAGTGATGACCTTGCAAAAAACAAGCTTTGATACATAGCAGGAAAGGAAGTGTGAATTTGAAAATCGCATTTCACATAGAAATCAGACTTTCCATACAATGTGCATTTTAAAGCATTGTTTAATCCCCTTGGGCCCTGTAGATCAAATTTAAATTCAAGATGAAGCAAGATTGAGTAAATTGCCCAACTTGTTTCAAAATGTTTTCACCACCTGATTCTAGATTGCATTCACTAATTGGGCATTTAAAACACAGTTTTCTGCCTATTTTTCAAAGAACAATTTTAAGGCATAGACAGATTTTTGCAAAAGATATTGATATAGTTTCTATTTCAGCTTATATTCCATTAACTAACAACTAATTATTGAGTCAACTAAGCTAATATAAAGAAGCAGAATTCGAAATGTTCTCAGAATAACGAGATTCAATTATTGAAGAAAACTGGAAATGTAGTTAAAAATATGTACTGTATGATATGACTAGGTCAGAATGGGGGTGGGGTCACATCTTTCTTATCATTATATTCCTGGCTCCTAACAAAGGATTTGTTCAGCAGTATAAGCTCAAAAAATATTGATTAAAGATATGTAGAACCAATTATACTTTTCATTAAAAAATAATTCCAGAAAAGATCATAGGCATATCAGATCAGCTTTGCAATCATTGTAACATTCTTCTCTAGCTTGTTTTCTCTTCTTCATGTGAGATTTTCACAGAATTAAGAAAACAACAAGGGGCCTCCCCTGGTGGTGCAGGCAGTCGGGTTTGATCCCGGCCAGCCAGCGAGGATCCCACATGGTGAGGCAGACCTCTCCTGTCGTGCCCGCTGCTCCCCTCAGCAGTATATTTCATCAGTCTGCCTGTTCTGTTGCCTGCTCTGTCTCTGGTGAATCCTCCTCACCCTCCTGCACATCTGGCCTGTACCCCAGATCTTGTATAAATAAATAAATAAATAAAATCTTTTTTTAAAAAAAGAAAGCAACAAGTCTTTCCCTTAGTCTTATTTTGTGGGTAAATGTTTCTTTCAACTATGTTGGGATAAAGGCATTTTTAGATGGCAAGCAATTCTTTTTGTTCTACATTGGATAGTCTCTGCGCCTCTTAAAACAAGGACCAGAATTTCAAATAATATAATTTAGAAAAGGAGGGACTTTTTAGCACATAATAAGGTAATTTTTTTTTTAGGATATGAAAGTTTTTATTCTGTTAATTCTACTTAAACTGGAGTGGTATTCCCCCCGCCCCCCATCTGCAAGGCAGAAGACAACCATGGAGGATTTGTGGCTGTCCTGTGAAACCCATTCTCCGTTGCTCAGTGCTACAGAATTTTAGCCTCCTCATACATTCTGACTGAGCTAGACCACGGCTCTCCACTTCTCTTGCGGCCAGGCGCCGTCACATGCCTCTCTCACTAATGGGATGTGAACAAGATGTGAGCCATTTCTGGATTTGGAAATTAACACTTGAGAACTATCTCTTACTTCCCCTCTTCCCACTGGCACGAGTCAGCTATTGTGACTGAGTGTCAACCATGCAGAAAATGAGGCTACTGGGGATGGCGAGGGGAAAACAGGAAGGGACCTATGTTCCTGAAAGAACTTGGAAGACACAAGTGCCCACTTGACCTAAATTTCCCACCTTACAATTGTCATGTGTGAGATAAACAAAGATCCATATTTTAAAAAGTCATTGTATATTGAGGTTAACTGAGGTCTATTGGTTAAGCTAGCTAAAAAGATTTAAAAATAGATATAGGTGAGATAAAAAGAGACAGATAATTCTGTGCTAATTAAATTGATCAGTTAGGCAATAAGACTAAACATACTAGGCTTAAATCTGACCCATAACTATAGAAGGAATTCCCAAAGTTTTCAAAGAGAAAAAAAAGTTTTCTATTAAAACATCACTCCATAATTATAATTGGCAATTTCATTCACACTTCCAATGAACACATTCTATCCCTGATATATAAAATATTCCAGAATTGAGAAACAGATGGAGAAAAAAACAACATGGGAACATAATAAGAAAGGGAACAGAGGCTAAATTCACTTATCAACACAGACAACATTTCTAGCAAAACTCAGCGGATTATTAATAATATAAAAACAAATAGGCTCTACTCTAGAAATTTGAGAGTGCTGCAAAAACAGAAAATTCGTGCACATTATTTATCATATCAATAGTAAAAAGAGCAAAGTTATACTTTACCATGATAAATCACAAAAAAACTGATGAGTGAAATTTCATATACATTTGTCTGCTAAATTTGGGATGAACTGATTCTTCTTTAACATAAAAAAGAGATCGTTTCAAGCCAAAAGACAATATAACGTTTTATGAGGAAAGATAAGCAAAAGAAAAGGAAAAAGAGAATTCCATTAATGTTTAGCAGAACATAATAATGCATGATTTTATCACTGTAATTTTATATCATTGACTTCCTAACCAATGTAATAAGGGATGAAAACAGAAAATTTGTATAAGGATTTGAAAGAAAATGGAATTATTATTTCTTCATATGGCAGCCTAAGAAAACCTAGAGTCCACTGAAATCAGCTAAATTATTAAAATCAATGGAATGGTAATAGGAATGCTAAAAATAGTAAGTTAGAACATAGGAAGTCAAATCATAGAGAGGTTGAAAAAATCAATGCGTGTGTAAAGACACTTAAAATTGGGAAGCTCTTTTTAAGCAAATAATTAAATTATCAAGGAAATGTCCAATGGGCTCAACCTGCCAAAAAGTTCAGTAAATAAATTCAGAGTCAGACCAAATAAGTAAAATATATGCAATATAGGACAAGGGCTTACTAGTTATAATAGAAGAAAAACATTATAAATTAATACAAAGAGCAATTTCTTATATTTTAAAAGTGGTCAAAATTTATCAACTAATAATTCACAAAGAAGAAACAACTATCCTACAAGCATGTTAAGCTTGAAAAAACATGCATTCAATTCAACCTTGTAATCCTCTGGATCATTTGTGTGCAGGTGTTAATTAAGAATGCACCAAAGACTTGGTTGGTTACCAGAAATTTAAACTCAACAATCCTAGTAAAACTGGAATTAATAACAGACAAATGTGCAGAATTAGAGGACTGAAACAATAACCATGTGTAGAAGCACATGAGAAGAACAACATACATTGTAAACAACTTTTTACCGAAATATAGAGGTTAAGTTAAAAAAAATCGACCGAAGAAGCAATATGAAGAGTGCTAATCCACCTGCATAAACTGAAATATGCACACGCTTACATACTTTGAATCATATAAAGTCAGCAGTGATTATCTTTGGAATTAAATGGGTTTTAAAATATTTTCTTTATTTTAATTTTTTTCTATTTTCTGGTTTTTCTACAGTGAACATGTAGTAGTTTCATGATAAATCAAACATTATTTTTACTACAACAAGTAAGTTATCAATTTCTGGTAAACATGGCACAGAAAATTCTGGCTTTAATTCACTCTTCAAAAAAGCATATTTTTATGTTAAAAATTATTCATATAACAGGAATATAAAGATGTCATAATAAGTACAAAAATAATATAAATAACAATGTGACCAAGATAAAACAGAAATGCCCTCCAAAAGGAGCAGGGATAAAGCCTCAGTCCAATGTTTGGGGAACTGGGGTGATTCCATAAAGAACGTGTGCTTATGACTCAGCCATCAAAAAAGAGAAACTCATGCCATTCGCAGCAACGTGGATGGAGCTAGAAGGAATGATGCTCAGTGAAATAAGCCAGAAGGAAAAAGAAAAATACCGGATGGTCTCACTTATAGCAGGAATATAGGGGAACCCAATAAGACATCAGTGTAAAAAAAATGACAACAGTACAAAACACAACAAAGCAAAAACGGACAATTATAAATCAGAGCCATCCTGCAGGGGAGGAGGCGGGAGCGGGGTCGGAGGGCAGGAGGGGCACAGGGGACTGGGGTGATGGTGCCCGGGGCCTTGGGGAAGGAAACTCTATGGGGACGACACCTGAGGGGGTGGGGGAAGCAGAAATTGTTTAAAAATGAACAATGATGTAAAAATTTTTTAAAAAAATTTTAAAAAAAGAACGTGCGCTTGGAGGTTTGGAGAGCTAAAAAGAATGGTGTTGATCTCATCATGGGGAAGAGTCAATCATGACTTGTCTGACAACGAAGTGTTAAACTCTGAAAGCCCGGGGACGATCTCTTCCAGGGCAAATAATTGCTCTCACCTCTCTCCTGTGTCCCGGACTCCGCATCGGGCCAGCCGCGCAGACAGCATCTCAGAGGCACCCCTGGGGCAGTCGTGTCTGTGCTGGACCCATATGGGCTCTTCCCTGTCACGTCTCCCTGGACAAGCAGACAGCGGTGGTTCGCGCCCGTGCACACTGCTCAGGTGTTACGAGTAACGCGAGTGACACTCAGTCTGCACAGATCATATTCATATTCAAACACCCCATTATTTCCTGTAAGGGACTTGAGCATCCTTGGATTGTAGAGTCCGTGGGGGATCCTGGAACCAACCCTCACCCTCTCCGTTCCCAATTTGCTTTCTTATTCTAAGTGACTCAATATTATACAGATGGACAAACTGGTTGACCACATTCCTGTAGATGCAGTCCACTGCTTTTCGTAACGGGGTGGCTGCATGGTGTGCAAACAGAGCTTATGGGGACGAGTTACCAAGCGCCTTTCCACAGCCCCTGCGCATAGAACCAAGGGGTCGGCCGCCGATCCTGGACCACGGGTCAGGGGTTCTGGAGCCCGGGGTTTCTAGGCGCACTCAGGGTCCACTCCCTGGCGATGCGTTCCTGGGCTTCACCTGTCACGGGACCTCGGTCTTGCTTGCTTGATGTTGCTCACCTGGGCTTAAAGCATCTCCATCCTACTCAGCGCATTGTACGTCTTGATTGTCATCAGCAGCTGGTGCTCCTCCCAAGCAGGGGCTGCCCTGACTGTCACGTGCCCTCTTTTGGAGGAGGTGTTTCCCCCCCAAATCCCCCACAGCCCAAGTGCATTGTGAATTTTAAGTCTCTTGTTCCGGGCACAAGTCATCCTCGGACAGAAGCATCATCAATAAAGGTAATGAGCAGTTTACATCCTAGCAAGTTTCATTAAATAGTAAGTAGTAACAGCGCCAGTTGCCGGTCAATGTTTGTGTTCTTGTTGGCGACAATTATCAGCAGATAACGTGTCAATTAGGATACTCCCGTCTCAAGAAGGAAAGCCCAGACTCGGACGGGCTTCAACAACGATTTGCTTTTTCACGGGATGGGCCGCTGGGCCAGCTGGTGGACGCGCAGCTTGGGGGCAGAGTACAGCCCCACGCGCCTCTCCCCGCCTGTGCGTGCCCGGTCCGCGCACCAGCTTTGTCCTGAGACTTGCCCGATGGCCGGGACTGGACAGTGAACATCCTGAGAACAACGCAATTGCTTGCTCTTTTGTTGACACAAGAGCAGGGGCCCTCCTAGCCCCCCGAGAGCGGTCTCACTTGTCAGACACGGCGTCTCCAACCAAGACTGAGGAGGTGTGCCTCGCGTCACCTGCAGGGACTCCTGGAGAGTTGTCTCCATGGGGAACACGGGGGATGAGGCTCACGGCCACTGACATGGGGGTCAGGTGAGGCAGAGCCGCTGGCGCCCAGGGACCGGCTTCTTAAGGTTCGGAGAGCAAAGGCTGCAGCGTGAGATCAGCCTCTGGGCCCTGCTCTGAGTGGGCGTCCTCAGTTGTCTCGGCAACTAGATGGCTCTAAAAAAAGGTGACGGTGGTGGGCCGAAGAATCAGAGTCTACCGCAGGCGCCCTGGTTATGTGCAATCAGTTACACCTAGAAGCACCTGGAAAACATGCACTTCTCCGAGTATCTTCTTAGGCTTATATATGGCTTGATGTAATACTATGTACAACTCATTTACTTATATAGTGTGTGATATATTACTGTATAGATTTGTTACATATGATTTCAAATATATGCATATGTAATAAAATATATCCTTATATATAACTTCATAATCAAATCCAGATCAGTTTGATAAAATTAAAATCAGCAGACGCATCCTTGTCACCGTGGAAGAGCTGCCAGGGCCTGCCTGTCTCGCTGCAGGGAGCCCAGGGAACACCACCAGCTCTGGGACACCGGGAGTCTTCAGTCTCCACGTGCGCTCCAGAGTTTTATTCACATTCATGGACAGAGCTTTATCCTCCCAACTTATTTCAGGCAAGCAGAAAGCCCTGTGGTTTGCAGGTTTCTTGATAAACGCCGAAAGGAACATGTTAAGAATTCTTAAAAATCAAAGCTGAAACAGGAAGGACTTGGAACGGTGCAGGAATAATCATCCACTAGAGAGTTACGTTTTCAGTACACAAAATAGAGAGGCTGTCATGGATTTTACCAAGACTTCCAACCTGCCATGTGTCGTGGAATACACGTATTTGCAATAAATTTGTGCCTCAGAACATGCACTTCATAACAGCAAGCTCTTGCTGATGCTTTGTACAAGACACACCTGCTGTTTTGTCAGGTTCTCCTTTCATAGCATGAGCCCCGCCCCCAAATAATTGGAGGTGTCAGGAGTGAGGGAAGCCTCCGCACTGAAGAAGGAAACCAATGGAAGGAAGCTGCGGAGCAGACCAGGGCGCAGGGCAGCAGTGCGGGGTTCCCTGGCCCGCCTGGCACTTTCTGCAGCCACAGCATGTGCAGGACGTGCTTCTCGCTGCCCAGGAGGAGCAGAGCCGGTGCCAGGCCCCCGGGTCACCTTTCCAGCCCCACATTCCCTGCGGGCAGGCCCTTGAAGCCTGCCAGGACAGCGGCGCAGCGCACCCTCCATCCCGCACCACCCAGCCGTGGGGCCCGGGCGGCAGGGCCTCCAGGGAAAGACACGGGTGCGGAGCGCGCAGGTTCACGCCCCACGGCCGTGGGCCCCTGGCCTCGCAGGTCACCGCTGACTGCGCTCCCGGACGTGTCCATCCGGCTGTGCCCTCGCCAAACTCGCACACCCAGAAATTCACGTTCTAATAGTCACTTGAGTGATTTGTTTGTAGATTTTTTTGACACAAATTGGTTTTACTTTAAGGTAAATTTACAAATTCACAGCAGTCAATCCCGCATTAAATCTGACTGATCAATTTTAATGAAATGCCCTAAGTCATAATAATAATTTAAAAGAAAAAAAACTGTTTTATATTACACCAGTTAAGAGGTATTTATTTGCCCCCAGGTCCTCGCCTCCACCTGCTCCTAAATAAAGCAAACGTGTGCAATAAGAGTGACATTTTTAATTATTCTGTTTTCTGCAAAGGCCTGGTTTGTATGTGGTGATTATCCAGGTCCCGGCGCACATCCCCGGGATTGCTGGGTGGACCCCGGCCGGCGGCCTCTCTCGGCGGGGAGGCCCAGGAGAGCCGCGAGCACAGCCTGCAGGGAACAACCCTTTATTTATTTTTTTTATTATTAATGAAAATAATTTTGGAATCCTCCCTAGACCCTGTTCTGCCCAGGAGCCGCTGGCTCCCTCTCCACCTTCCCTTCCCACGCCCCGAGAGCGCAGTTTCCGCCCGCTCCCCGCCCGCTCCCCGCCGCTCCGCAGCCCTAACTGCCCCCCTGGAGGGCCCCTCCTCGCGCGCGCCCTTCCTCCCGCACCTTGGCGCCCCCCGGGTCTCTCCCCCTGCGGCCCAGCGGCGCGAGGAGCCGAGCTCGCCCGCAGTGTCCCAGCGCCTGGGTCGTTGTCCCGCAAGCGATCACCCGAGGGCCAGAGAGGACACCCTCGTGAGGCATCCCCGCCCTGGGGGCGTCGGGAAAACTCGGCCGCCTGTGGGTCCGGAGGGGGCTCGGCCGCCGCGGAGGCCACATTAGAAGGCCAGGGCCGGGCAGGGCTGCAGGAGCCTCCACGCACCTGTGGGGCCGGACAGCTGCGGGCCCGCCGCCGAGGGAGCACCAGAGGGGCGCCAGGGGCGCATCAGAGGAGCACCGAGGGGCACCAGAGGAGGACCAGGGGAGCACCAGAGGAGCTCCAGAGGAGCACCGGGGAGCGCCAGAGGGGTGCCAGGGGAGCACCACAGGAAAGCCGGAGGAGCACCAGGGGAGCGCCAGAGGGGCGCCAGGGGAGCGCCAGAGGGGCGCCAGGGGAGCGCCAGAGGGGCGCCAGGGGAGCACCAGAGGAGAGCTGGAGGCGCACCGGAGGAGCGCCAGAGGGGCGCCAGGGGAGCAACAGAGGGGCGCCGGAGGAGCACCGCCCAGCCGGGGAGGAGGCCTGGAGCCCGCGCTCGCGTGCGCTGGGGACTGGGCCAGAGGCGGCGGCGCGGGGCAGCAGCGCCCTCCAGGGACAGGACCTCTGCGTGGGTCCCCCTCCGCTCGGGCTGCACCGCCAAACACCTCGGGGTGCTGCGGGCTGACTTCCCCGGCCCCGAGTCCAAGATCCCGCGCAGGCAGGGCACGGCCTGGGAGGGCGGCTGCGGGTCTGGCTTCTGCGACGGCGCCGACCCCACTGGCGAGGACCCCACCCTCAGAGACAGTCACCTCCTCACGACCTGCCCCTGCTGCTATCAGCAGGTACATTTGGGGGGCACCCTCAGGCCCTAAGAGGGAGGAGTTGGAAACTTAGGGCCCTCTCAGCCCCGACCCCTGCTGCGCTTCTCTGCCGCGTCTGCGCGGGGCCTGAGCACCAGCCGCCAGCGGGCGCAGCGGGCACCGGGGCTGCAGAGGAAACCAGCGCCTGGGCCCGGGGTGCTGGGGCGGGCTTCCGAGGGGAGCCCGGGGTGCTGAGGAAGGAACTGCCCAGGCACGGAGAGGCCCTGAGCAAGGAGAGCCACAGCGCAGGCCGCGCGGTGCAGGGCGAGGGCGCGGAAAGGCTGCAGGAGGGACAGTGACGTCAAAATTGAAAATGCTCCGGGGCCCTTAGGGTCACCCGCACTCGGAGACCACCTCAGGCGGCAGCTGCCCACACTGCAGGCTGAGGCCGCGGCCGCCTGGCTCCTGCTGGGCTCCACACGTGTCCACTGCCCAGGCGCCCAAGCTCCCTGGCCAGCTCAGGAGCAGTGCTGGAGCCGAGGGTCTCGGCAAGAGCTGGCCCAACTGGACACGCCAATAGCATGTGAAAAGCAAGGGGGGGGGGTCCCTTTAGATCTGGGTGGGCTGAACTGCCGCCCAGACTGCACCCTTCCCTTAACCGCGTTCCAAACCGCTGGAATCAGATGGCGGCTTCGGCGGACAGTCTCCCTCTGTTCCCCACACTTCCGCCTCATAGCGTCGCCTCCAAAATTTAAAAACACTGTAATTGTCCTCAAAAGGAAACCACCACACCGTGGCGATCACAGGCCCCCCTTGAACTGTATCCCCCAGTCGCCTCCAGAGCCT